GCTGTTGAAACTGATCAGCGGCTGATTCCAGGAAGCCCAGGGCAGAGCAACTCTGCCTCGAGCTTCCTGTAGTCAGCCGCTGGTCAGTTTCAGCAGCGGCTGAATCTGGACGCCAGTTCCGACTTACATACAAATTCAACTTAAGAACAAACCTACAGTCCCTATCTTGTACGTAACCTGGGGACTGCCTGTAGTACAGCATAGATATCTGTTCAAGGGGAAGGAGGTGTGGTCAGAGCCAAGGGATGGAAGATCTCGTAATATGATTAAATATTATCCTGCTTGGCAGGACTACTTGCTATCTCTTTAAAGTGTATTTTGACTTTGAAAAAGGTGGCTGGTAAAATGGCCTTATGTGGCTTCAAATGTATTGTTGCTCAATGTGCAGTATCATGCTTGCTCAGCTTACTCATGAAAACATGTTTATACTTTTAGCCCTGAAAACTCCAACAGTGATCAGATCTTTCTGGCCTATACAGCACCAATAAAGAATCTGCAGTTGAATTTAGTTAACAACTCTGCTATTTGTCATTAGCATTTATTAATTGTACAGGTTGAACCTCCCAAACCCGGGACTCTCTGGTCTGGCAGCATCTGTTGTCTGGCAGGGCCACAGATGTTGCTGGACCAAAGAGCCCTGGAGGTGGGAGCAACGCAGGGACTGAGGAGCCCTAGCTGGGACAGGTGGCATCTGGGGCACTCTCCCCACCCTGGCTGGGGAACTCCTGGCATTAGTGGGGCCAGACAGCAGCTGGGAGCTCCCACCCAGCTGGGTAAACCTCAGCTTCAGTTGGGACACCGGGGTGTCCTGGCCACAGCTGGGGAATCCCCAGCTGCAGCGAGGCTGCCGGCGGATGGGCGGCCCTGGACAGGAATTCCAAGAAGTCCCCAGCAGCAGTGAGGCCAGAATGACTGGACAGCCTCTGCCAGGGAACCCCCCTGGCTGAAGCGGGTCTGGCAGAGGCGGATGGTTGGAATCCCCAGCAGCAGCGGGGCGAGGTGGCCATGTGGTCCCGGATGGGGAACCCTTAGTGCAGCAGGGCTGGTGGTGGCGGGGTGGTCCCAGTTGGAACCTGGAGAACATTCTGTGACAGCAGGGCCGGCAGTGGCCAAGGGTCCCGCCAGGAACCCCAGGAGACCTTGGGGCAGCAGGGTGGAGAGCCTGTGCCGGAGCCTGTAAGTGGTGCAGCCAGCAGGGGAACACTGACCTCCCCTGGTCCGGCAAACTCCCTGGTTCAGGACAGCTCAGGTCCCAAGGATGCTGGGTCTGGGAGGTTCCAACTTGTACCATGCCAAAGATGAGCTCAGAGCCTGAGAAAACAAGCATACCTTTATCAAAGACAACACAACCTTGAGTTGAGGTGAGATACACACGAGGGACTGTGGATTTACACTGCTTGGAGAGAGGGTTTTTTGTTAGTTTTATTTAATTCTCTCAAGTCAGCTTTTAAGGGGAATTTGATTAACATGACCAGAAGAGTCCAGCTTACACCGCTGGAGCTGTGCGTACTTTACAGTGAGAACAGGAGTAAAAAGGAACGATGATATTTGCATCAGGGAAATCTGCAGAATACACATGGATGATGCAGCAGCAGGCACAATTTTGACAACCGTTTTCCATGCAGGATTTCCCTATACACACTGCTTATTGTCCAACTGATGCTAGCATGTGTTTCTGACTGTATACATTTCACAATTAGCCCTAGCACTGTTGGTGGATAGTGGAATTTGCAGGTATAACACACACCTAATGTGGTTTTTGATATTTCATTTTCACATTATTCTTCATGTTATTTGTGAAATTTGGTGTGTGTTGCACTTCCTCAGACCTTCTGAGGAAGAAACCCAGACAAAGGGTAGGCTGGAGCAGTGTAGCCAGTTGTAAACAAGTTGAACCAAGGGCTATGTCTAGACTACAGGCTTCTTTCGGAAGAAATCTTCCGAAAAAACTTCTTCTGAAAGAGAGTGTCCACACTGCAAAAATGCACCAAAAAATCGATCTGCTATCTTGGAATAGAATGTCCAGACTAAATGGACGCTCTCTTGCATGTAAGCTGTGATTGCTATGGACGTGCTTTTTCCTCTTCTTCCGAAAGAACTCCTTCTTCCCCATCCACACACGCTTTTTTGTGAAAGAGCTCTTTCGCAAAAAGTCTTCTTCCTTGTAGAATAAGGATTACCAGTGCTGGAAAAACCCCTCTGTTCTTTCACTTTTCTTGCAGAAGAACACAATTGCAATGTGGACATTCCTCACGTTTTGTTGGAAAAAACGGCCGTAGTGTAGACATATCCAAGGTGACACAGCGTGTAATGAGAAGAATGTTTTCAGTTCTATATATACCAATGCTATGTGTCTGAGGCAGGGATGGGGAATCTTTTTTGGGTTGGGGGCTGCTGACCACCAGGCTAGTAGATTTTGTATGATCCAGTCCCATGGTTGGATAGTGGAGTGGGGGGCTGGAGTGCCAGCACAGGCTCCCCAATGCTGGGGTAGGGGAGCCCCGAGCCTCAGGTGATGGAACCAGGTAAGCCCTGGTTTAGGTAACGAGCAGGAGGACCTGGAATTTCTCTTTGATAAGAAGAAAGTTGATATAAGTAGCATTATTAATATAAGGTGAAACAATGTGCATGATTGCAGTTTTATAACCACTAGTTACAATCTCTCTAGGAATGATAGAGTGAATAAAAGATGTATGGAGAGTGGCACTCTTCATTAAAGTTGCCTCTACCTATTCCAGAGCTGTGACTAACTTAGAATCACAGGATCTTCAGTGTATATAAATCAGTTATGCCAACTAACAAAGTGCAAAACAGATTCTGCTAAAGGTCTGTTATAAACTATTTAAAATAATCAAGAGAACAGGACAAATTATTCCTAAGCATCTACCGGTAATGCATGTAAAGAAATTGTGTTCAGGTGATTGTACATGTGCATTCTATTGTAGGTGTGTATGCACTTTCGAGTACAGTCCCCAGAAATTTTTCTTTCAAGTATCCATCGGGGACAGTTTGAGCTCCTATAGGTGCCATGCACTTATAGTCCCAGTATAAAGTACCACGCCAGCACCACTGTAGCCTGCTGTGAGGTGACAGAAACCGGACTCCCCGCAGACTGAAGGGGCGTAAGCATTTGTAAGTGCCTGTTGCTCTCATATGCATTGCTCTGCCTGTGCTTATTGATGTGTCACTTTGCAATAGCTGTGTAACTATCTGGCAGTATTAAGCCTGCAATAGTAGTGACATAGTGAGATTAATAAAAGCAACAATCCCTAATTGACTCTGTTGTGAATTGAATCCATAATCCTGTTTGGCCATGCCCTTGTGAGTAGACATAGCCTACTTGACATTTTAGCCTCTGCGTGCCCATAAAGAATGGTCTTGCCTCTCAATGGGACCACTATGGACCATGTAAAAACCTTGTGGCTGACCTCTGCATTTCTCTCACCCATCAAAAAGAGCTAAATGAAAGCACAAGTTTATACGTTTTTTTACTCCCATCCTCTCCCCAGGATCCCTCATGGTATCTACTGCCAATGAAAGAGAAAAGCAGGGTCACTGGAGTGCAACTCCAAAAGTAAAGGGCTGTAAGAGACTGGATTTGTTTGGTAGAAAAGTTTATCTTATTTGGAGAGTTGCAGCTCAGAATTTCAAACCACCAGCTACTTCTGGCCAGACACGATTACAATACTGGGACTCCATGTTCAAGGATTTTCTTGCACAAAAGGTTATGCAAGAATACTCCTTGCTGGTTGATGAAGGAAAATCAGTAGGGAGAGCCTCGTCGCAAGCTGTTTTGATTAGGGTTGATTCAGCAGCCAAGTCTATGGCTTTAGCAGTGACCACATGCAGGAGTTTATGGCTTCATTCCTCAGATCTCCTGCAGAAAGTTCAGCAAACTCCAGGATCTGCCTTTTGAGGGAGCTTTGCTCTTTTCAGAACAAACTGTTTCAAAGCTTTGTGGGGTAAAAGACTCCAGGGTGCCCCTTCAGTCACTTAGGGTACGTCTAGACTACATGCCTCTGGCGACAGAGGCATGTAGATTAGGGTACCCGACACAGTAAAATGAAGCGGCGATTTAAATAATTTAAATGTAGTCTAGACGTACCCTCAGTTTGTATACATCAGCAACTAAATGAAGCACTACAAGCCGCGGCAGCCTAATCAGGACTCTGTCCCACCTATCCATCAGGATCTGCAGAGAAAAAGCAGCAAGGATTTTAGATTTAGGAGACCCCCCCTTTCTACTTTGATGTTGATGCCTGCCCTACCCCAACTTCCGGGAGTTTTACGCAGGCATTTTGAGGGACACTTGATTACATCATACGAGTTCCTATGATGTCAAACTCTTTCTCTGTGTACAGACTGCCTCTCTCACTTCCTCAGTGCATGATCCCATTTCAAATCAAACCGTTAGATGTTGAGCATGCTGGAAGTGGATATAGTCTTCAGTTTATTTCCACTTGTTCTCACCCTCCCTCTCCCTACCTATTCAGAAACCCCTCTCATGAAGAACTTCTGGTCCAAAGTATGCAATCTGTCCTTCAGATGGGAACCATGGAAGAGATTTTGAAGAATTTAAGAAGGAAGGGTTTCTCCTCGCATTGTTTCATACTCCAAAAGCCAAGGGAGTCTCAGACTGATTCTACACCTGTACCACTTCAACAACTGTCTCAAGAAAATAACTTTTCAGAAGGCAACACAGCACCTCATATTCATCAGATCTTCAGTGATATTATTATATGACTTGACAGATATGGTGTATTTTATGCAAAATAGTCATGAGTTGTTGTTGGAAAGGTTATGCTTTGCAGACTGCGATTATCCTATTTGTATGCCTATCATTTTTGTGTCTGAAGTTAGGAATATTGACTATGTATCTGTATTTCAAATATAATTACACCTGGGGCACATTCAAAAAGATGCTTTCGACCTAATTAGGGGATAGGGAAAAGGCCGTTAGGGAAAAACAATAGGCCTTAGGAGAAGCTTATCTCCCAACTGGTGACCTTTCTTGTGAACATTCCAAACAGCTTGAGAGTAATGGCGTTATGATTCTATAAGGACATGTGATGAGACCACATGTCTTTAGACTCCTCCTTGGGATGTCAATATTTTTCCATGGACCAGTCTGGGGACCAAACTTTGAAACAAAGTGTTCCCATCATATGGAAAAGCTATATAAGGCAAGGAGTGACATCATCCCAGGTTCCTCACTTACTTCCCACTGAAGAAGACTTTTGGAAACACTTGAGGAATAAAGACTGAACTGAGGAAAGTGCTGGACACAGGCCTTTGAATTTTGAGCCTTTGAATGGCACACTTGGGCTTTGTCTACACTGCAGGATTTATGTGCAAGAAGAGATCTTCTGCAAAAACTTCTTGCACAAAAGCACATCCACACCTCAAAAGCGAATCACAAAAACGATGTGCTTTTGTGAAAGAGAGCATCCACACTGCATGGTTGCTCTTGCATAAGAAAGCTCTGATTGCCATTAACAGAATGGCATCAGAGCACCTGTGCTTTTTCTGATAGTCTCTTTTTGCACAAGAAACCCCTGCAGAGTGTCTACACGTGCCTTTTTGGGCAAGAGCTGTAGTGCAAAAAAAGAGTTATTCCTCATGGGGAGAGGAATAACTCTACTGGCAAAAGCCCTCTATCCTGTTGATTGACTGTATTTTTTTGCGTGTGCAAAAACATGCATAAGATGTGGACGCTCTGCTGTTTTTTTCATAAAAGCCTTGTAGTATAAACATAGCCTTGGGGATTCCAAGCTGAAAGCATGTGTAGCTAGCCCTTTAGCTTGGGGATTCTAAGCTGAAAGCATGTGTAGCTAGCCCTTTAGGAATCTACAATCTGTTTGTATAGTCTCTTAGGGTGAGAATCTGGTTATGAATAGCAATCTATGTAGTATATGAAGTTTTGTTTGCATTTTTGTTTATTTGCTTGGTAATTTGCTTTGATCTTTGTGCTACCCCTTATAATCACTTAAAATCTTTAGTCGTAAGTAAACTTTTTTTGCTTCATCTAAACCAGTGTGTGGGAACCATAACTAAGGAGCAAAGACCTCTCCAGATTTAGGGTGTGTGTAAATGTTATGAGCTTCAGTTGTACAGTTTCCTGTGCAGTGCAAGATGGTATAATTTTGGGTTTATATTGCAGGGTGTGTGTGTGTGCGCCTGATGAGCTGGGAGTAGCTTTCCCATGCCTCTGCTGGCCAGAGAACCTGCTTGTAACTGCCATTGGGTGTGTCTCTTTCTATATGTATGCCAGTGAAAGTACAGGATGGAAGGCTTTGTAAGCTTGCAGGCAGCACCACAGGGAGAAATTGTCAGTCACCAGTTATATGGAAGTTTGGTAACCAGTTTTGGCGGTGGATTTGAAGTTGGGAAACATGCTGGAGATCCTTACTGGCGAGTAGTAAGACGACATTAGAACGTCTATAAATATAGATTATAATTTTCTAATACCAAAGTTATTGCACCCAAATTCAAGATCAGATATTTTAAGTATTTAGTGTTATGAATTTTCAGCCCAAACTGGATCTAGTTAGCTAAGAAATTTCCTCTTCAATAGATTGCATCAATTACACTCTAATAGATACAAAGAAAGTAGCAACTAAGAGTGGGAACTCTGAGTATACAGACGATAGCTTGGTGTGGCTCAAAAGCTTGTCTCTCCAAAACAGAATATGATCCAATAAAATATTTATTTCACCCTCTTTGTTTGTTTGACTTTTCAAACATGGTAGTTTTAGAATACAGGCAGTCCCCGGGTTACATGGATCCGACTTACATCGGATCCCTACTTACAAACGGGGTGAGGCAACCCCGCACTAGCTGCTTCCCCCCAGCAGACCAGGGAGACGCAAAGCTAGCGCTCCCTCTCCCCTCCCCAGCAGACCAGGGAGACACGGAGCGGCTTTTCTCAGCAGACACCTCAGCTTGAGAATAAAGGACTGAGGGAACTGAGGTGTGGGAGAATAAAACTGAGCTCTGGAGAAATGTTTGTCTAGAGTTTCCCCTACAATATGTACCAGTTCCGACTTACATACAAATTCAACTTAAGAACAAACCTACAGTCCCTATCTTGTACATATGCAGGCAGTCCCCAGGTTGTTAGCTAAAATATTTGGACACCATACCTTTCATTTTAGTTTAGACAAAGGCCATGTGGCTGGCAGCTACTAGACCAATACCACTGTTGCTGAGCCCTAACACTGCTTAAAGGGTACCTAACCATAATTAATTATTTGTTACTCTAGTAGAATGTAGCTAGGCTATAGCCTATAGCATGGATGACTTCAGCATCAAAACTTCACATTAAACATTTGTGGTGAGGTGTTCCAGAGTTAGATAAAGATCTATTTTTCAGATGTTTAGTCAAATTACGCCTTTGTTCTGTGAGGCTAGAACGGAGTGTGTTTGTGTGGGTGGGGGTGGGGGGGTCCAGCGGAGAAAAATATTTTCAGGCCTTGGAACAAATTCTGGAATTGTGTGTGAAAGTTTGAAAAACTGTAGCCGACCTGCTTTAGTGAAACATTTTTTTCTTCTTGAAACACAGTCACATGATCTAGCAATACATTTTTATAGATGGTAGTTAGTTGCTTACCACATAAACTGCAAGAGGAGATAACTTATGGCACAGAAAGAAGTTTACAAGATTTTAGCTTGAAAAAAAAATCACATTAAAGCAGGACATCTAGACCAGTTTTAGCCTTGTTTGTTACTTGATCATTACAATGATAATTTTATTTAAGAATAAATGGAAATGAAGATATTCATTTAGGATGACAGACTAACAACTAGGGAATCTGTCTGATTCTTACAGAAAGGTCTCATTGCTGCAATAGCGGTGGTGGTGCAATTTGTAATTTTGGTACACAGAAGGATAAGTGAGTTGCTGCGACAAGGTCAGTGAAGGATGATGGAATTGGAATGAAAGAAATGTATAAACAGTTATAAGAACAGATTTTTGTTATTTGTTATTACAAAAGTAAATGAAGGGTGTTGGATACCATTGCCCCCTTTTGGGAGGTTTACGGTGGGTGTGAAACATATCGTAAGGAATTCAGAAAGCACATAACCAGAACAGTGACAACTTAGCACAACCAACTGCATTTTTACAAATATGGGGAGATACATAAAAAAAGAGTAAATAATTTAAATGAAGTGTCAGGATGGTTTTGTAACAAACACAGTATCCTGGCACAGATTTCCCAACTTTGTACCTGCTTTGTCAGGTGCTCGTGAATACTAGCAGCAAGATGTGGATCATGCAAGTACTTATGAACATGCTTAGTTTGGCATACTTGAATGGTTCTATTTGTGCCCATGTATTAAGTTAAGCATGTTCACGTTTACAGACCTGGACCCTATAATGGAATGCTGTTGTGGTCAGTAGAAAATTACACAACTGGTAGCAAATCTTTATCTACAGAGGAGGTACACAGTATTAAATATACAAATGCAGTTCTTGCTTCTGCAGTTAATTAAGCATGGGACAAGAAATGGGTCCTAAAATTACTGAAAAAATGTCTTGTATGAATGCACCACACTTAGCACAAGAGGGCATTGATCCTCACTGAGGCTGTTATAATACAAAACTTAAGTCTACAAGCCAGACAACTCTGAAGCACTGTTTCTAATAGTGACAGAACTTGCCTCACCCATCTGGGCCATTTTACAGTCACTTTCAGAATAATATCATATTGTAAAAATCTATCAGCATTCCATACTAAGTGTAGAGCAACACAAAAAATCCAAGCTCATGATCTGCAAACTGCCCTCCATTAACAATGTGCATCAGAAACACCTACCTTTACTCTGCCTCCAACATTAGCAAATCAGTGTTTGTAGTTTCTCAGCCCAGAGATTTTAAACTGTTTGCAACTTCATTGTCAGTTATTAACATACACTTATTTTATATTATATTTACACATATACACTCTTCACCAAAGAAATATTTTATTTAAAAAAAAATCAAAGTTCATCGAGAATTAAAATTAACTTCAAAATTTAACACATTTGTGCTAAAATTGCACAGTAGCTAGAAACCGGAGAACTAGAAATACCTGATCTGAATTAGTGCAAGTCTGTTGATGCAGCCCTAACCATACAAGAAATGATCTAACACTATTGCAAAAAAAGGGGAAAAAACCCCTAAGACTTGATGACTAAGGCATCTGAAACCTCTATACATTCAGTAATTCAGCATTCAAACAAAAATGCCACTAACACGTATTGGGTGTATGTGCTGTGTAGATATTTTGCATCATCCTTTATTTAGTTTGCAAACTATTACTTGAAGTTCTTCAGCATCTGCTTATTATTTTGTAAATATTTTTTTCCATCCCTACATCAGCACTGATGGAGAACCGTGGGATAGCCAGGCATAGAGTAGGAAAAGGAACCAAAAGGTGTTCTCTATATGAAGCATTCATGTCTTCATTTGTGCCCTTATTTCTGGAGCAGCCTCAAAGCAGGGCTGGCAAAATATCCTCTGCGGACCAAATTCGGCACCGCCAAGCTGCCAGATCTGGTCTGCAGATGCACCCCCGCATGCTGCTGAGAGAAGCTGCTCCTGGATTCTGTTTGAAAAGCTGTCCGCCTTCAAGTGCTGCTCCTGTCCCCACCACAATCCCATTGGCCGGTTTCAGCCAACAGGAGCTGCCTGTTATCAACAGGCAGCTTGCAAAGCATCCTCACCTCAGGCTCATAGCAGTTCAAAAACCACATGGCCCCTGCAGCCAGTGCAGGGGCAGGACAGGCAGGCAGGCATCTTGAGAAGGCTGTTAGCTGGGAGTCAAGCAGGTAAGTCTCCCAGCCGGTTCCTTCTCTGGCACCCCAGCCCTTTGCCCCTGCTACAACCCAAACCCTCTGCCCCCATATGCCCTTCCATATCCTGCACTCCAGTCCCCTGCCCCAAGTCACAACCCCCTTCTGCCCTAGGTCAGAGCCCAAACCTCTGCACCCTAGTCCCCTAACCCAGGACACAACTGTCTCTTTCACCCAAACTCCCTCCCAGACCCCACGCCATCTCTTGCACCCCAGTCCCTTACTGCAGGCTCCATTCTGCACCCATCCTCCATCCCAGACTCTGTACCTCCTCCATTGATATGGAAGAGTACAGCCCTTGACCACTTTCCAAATTCTTGGAGTGGTCCTCCATCAAAAATTGTTGGCCACCCTTGCCACAGAGAAAGCTGCCAGGCTGAGTAGCCAATATAGGGAGGAAGACTACTTAAATTTACTAAACCTCTTTTCTTCTACCCACTCAAAACATTTTAAAATACAGCTTCAAGAGGTACATTTTCAAAACAGGTAAATAATTTCTTGATTTACATTACCTATTAACCTCAATAAAAAACTAACTTGCACGGTAAAACAAACATTCATTATTACATTATAATGAATTCTTTCACATGATCTTGGAATGGTTTTTAAAATAGATTAAAAATATTCAGAACACACTATTTTGGAGCTTTGATTAGACACTTGTTCTAGTACATAATCCGTATTATAACAAAAATACAAATTGTGCTTCAGAAGCCCATGCTACAAATTTGTGCTACAAATTTGTGCCCCCACACCTTTTTTTTTTAGAATTATAACGCCCTACAGAAGTTTAATGAGGGGGCTCCATGTGTTTACACTGTATATTAGTCATGGTTTTGTTATCCCGTTCAGTGTTCCAAGAGCCCTCATATCTGGGATGCTACTGATAAATTATATTAAAAGGAACATTAATTAAGCAGTTGCAAGAGCAGTCCAGCTGCATAGTAAGATGGTATTTTGGTGTCCATGGCTACCACTCTGCCAATGGTGGCCAAAGGATATACACAAGAAACACCCATCACCATCCTTAATGGAAGTTGCACACAAATGTATAGTGCCATAATGGGAGGATATAGTATGGGATGGTTAAAACTGAGCAGATCCTAGAAGTGCTGAAATGAGAGCTAATATTGCTCTGTGAGCCTTGCTTATGGAGCAACACTGTTTCTCCTCCGTGATAATTGCACTCCACCCTGTTGTGCCAACATGTAAAAGCCTAAGTATTAGTCAATAGGAATGCAAGAAATGAGTTTTAAACTGTGCCTAATACAGTAAAACTCCAGTTGTCCGGCATCCAGTGGTCTGGCACTCCCGCTAGTCCGGCACCACCTGGAACCCGGAAGTGCTTCAGGCAGCCAGACAATTGGAGCTGCTCTGCCCCCGGCTTCCCCGAGTTAGCTGCTGGTCAGTTTCAGCAGTGGCTGACTTGGGGAAGTCTGGGGCACAGCATCTGACCGCCCTCCCATCCCCCCACCCCACTCCAGTCCCCTCATAGCCCCCCCTTCTGATAGTCCAGCATTTCTGATAATCCGGCACCCCCTGGGTCCTAAAAGTGCCGGATTATCGGAAGTTTAGTGTAGTATATAGCTCATTAACACAGAAATGTGCTCATGTAGTGAAAGTTTAGAAGAAAGCATACATTGACAAGTGTAACTGCTAATGGGGATGAGTAATGATAATTTTTTCTTACTGGAAAAAAAGCAAATTTAGCATTAGTAATTAACTAATTATGTTATTGCTAACAAATGGAAATTCACAAAAGATGGTATGCTGTTCAAAATGCCCATAGCACCAAGATTCAGTTTTTTCTTTAGCATGTACCCATTGCCAGCAATGAAATGTATGTTGAGCACCAAGGTAATAAAAGAAGTTACATCTGTCATCGGTTCTTTCAGTTAGATTCAGCATTACTAGACTTTCCTTCTAAACTATCTTCATACTTATAATCCTCATATTCCAAAACATCCTCTTTGTCATGATCAGACTGAGAACTTGCCTTCTCTTCCTCCTCTTCACAGGACTGGTCAGACTGTGAGCTTGTTTTCTCGCCTTCCTCCCAAGACTGGTCAGAGCGTGAGCTTGCTTTCTCTTCTTCCTCCTCTTCCTTGCAGGACTGGTCAGAGCGTGAGCTTGCTTTCTCTTCTTTCTCCCCTTCCTCACAGGACTGGTCAGATTGAGGATTTGCTTTCTCCCCACTACAGGATTCTCTTTCTTGAACTTTATCTTCATTAAGACTAAAGGAAACAAAGATTTGCATATATTTATCTTTTGAGGAAGATTTAAAAAATATGTTGTAAAGAAATACAACTCCTGAATTATGGATGGAAAATCCTGTTTAATTGGTTAACTGGTTAAACATATTGGTTAACCGGTTAACCGATTAAAGGGAAAGGGGGTAATGGGGCTGGAGTGAATCCCCTCGCCTGACACTGGGTTGGAGCAGTCCCCCCACCAAAGGCAGGGACTGCTCCGGATGCTGGAGCAGCCCCTGCCTATGGGGCCCCTGGGCTCCATACAGACAGAGGTGGTTCTGCACGCTGTAGCAGCCCCTGTCCATAGTGGGCTCTCTGTGAGGCTGGAGCAGCCCCCTGCTGTTACTGGTTAACCAGAACTGGTAAGGGACAAACGGAGCAGCCCCTGTCCACAGCATCCTCCCCGCCCCCGTAGGGCTAGAGAAGACCCCTGCCTATGGCAGGCGGGGAGTTGATCTAGTCCCCACCGGTTAACCTTAACTGGTAAGCCTCACCCATTAAGGATGATTCACATCCCTACCTTGAATACTCTGACTCAGATCCTGCCAATCAGAGTATTAATCTCTATGGGGTGGGGATTTACTATGGGTAGGGCCCCCCCGTTTTTCACAAATGCAAGACAACATGGAATAAAAACAAAATCATTCTGCAGCAGCAGCTCCTGTAAGATGAGATTGTGCTCAGCTGCCTGCTCTGGTAGTTGTGACTTAGTGTATGGGGTTGAAGCACCACTCACACGAATTTGGCCTGGCTGCCCCTCATGGCAAAGAGGCAGGTGGGCCAAATCGGAGCAACACTGTGACCTTGTGCACCAGGTCATAAGCCTGGAGGGGCAGCTGGATTCAGCCCCACAGGACAAGAGCTTCCACTGTGGGGTGGGCTCACATTCTGCTGCCCCTTTCCTAGAGGCAGAACCCTGCCTCCCGAGCCTTCCAACCCTTCCTTCAATGCCCCCTTGGCATGGAAAAAAAGAAACATGAAATTGTTGAAAAATAAAACAAAAATGATAAAAAAATAAGCACGTTACACGTTCTAACAATGAGGAAGAAAAAGCCTCTTTCTACACTGCAGAGTAGTTGCAGTAGCCCCAGTAGCCTGTGTCCCCGTTCGGCAGGAAGCAGTGGTCAATGGATTTCAATAGTGGCGCTATAGGACACACCACAGACCTGGAACCCCTGCATAGCTCCCCAAATCCCAGTAACAGCTATGAAGAGTTGGCATTAAAAAGGCATATTATCCAAGCATTTAATGAAAATTTGAAAAGTTAACATTATTTTCATTAAAAAAACAAAAACAAAACAGCCTTCTACAAAAGCAGACCTCTCCTTAGCAACCAGCCAGGATTTCTGATAAAGAATCAGAAATAAAACAGGAAGACAAGGCAATGAAATTTAAAAAAAAAACATGTGCATTAAATTACATATCCCGTGTTAAAATATTTAAGAGGAAACGAGATTACAAATTTACCGGATGAGCACTTCATTTTCATTGTCTTTTGTGAATTAACATTTAATAGAAACACTGACACTATGAAAATGAGAATTTTTGTGCAGCCAAATAGTTACCTCCAAAATACAAACAATTTTGTCTTCTAAAACTAAAACAAAACTTGTTATAACTAAGTGTGTAACCGACCACAACAAACCACTGATAATTGTTACCTTTCTTTGTCTTCAGAGCAGCTTCCAAAGCCTTTAGTATTGGAGTGACCCAGAAATGTATCAGTTTGACTTTTCTTTGAAAGGAAGTCTTCACAAATCCCCAGTTCTCTCAGTAGACCAGAATAATGCTTTTCTGCCGCTATTCTGGCATTTTTCTATGGAAAAATAAATAGTTACAGCATTCTAAAAATTAATGTATTAAGGGCCAGATTCTAATCCATCATAATCCCATCAAATTCAGTGTGTTACTCTGTGAACACAAAATGGTAGAATTTCTTTTAGCTCACTATTGGAAAGTACACAGTTCTGTAATCCTGCAGGTATAGCCTGTGTAAGAGGGTTTGCCCAGTGGAAGGGTACAGGGGTTGGTGGGTCTTCCTTTCCAAACCCACATGTATAGATAGCCCAAAGCAATTACCATGATAGGCCCGAATGAAGAATAACAACTGCTGTTCCCTCTATGGGTTTGTGACTCTATTGAAGTGTGCTGTGCAGGGATCACACCCTTACTATGCCCACATACGCTGTTCTCCTAGTTACAGCTTAGAGCCCTGCTCCCTAGCAGGGAAAAATAGCGCAGAGTCCTTCTTCTCTTAGGGGTTTGCTGCCTGTCACTCTTTGCAGCAGAAGCATACAGCTTCTGCTTTATTTGGAGTTTTTCATACCATCGTAAATTGGTCAAAGATGTAAGATTTGCTCCTCAGTGCCAAGGATACCCACAGGATGTTCTGTACTTTAAGGTTCTAGGCTAATATTCTGAATAGGATTAAATGATCAGCACCATTATATTCTGAATTCCTTGGTTTTGGCAGTATACTCATAATCGATCGTTTATTTGCTGAATATCTGTATTACTGTTTTTAATAGTAGTAGTTTTCCCTTCAAACAAACCTTATGAAACATTCAATCAGTACTGTTTGCTAGCTCTTCCTGTGAAGTCTCCAGGATAATACACTATCTAATGATGGTTAGGTCTATTACATAAATTGTACAAAGCAAGGAAAGCTACCGAGCAGTACATCCGCCTCATTTAGCCCTGCATTAGTTCTGGGAGGGACCCTTAATCAACAACCCCCTTAATCAATTTAGACATAAAGTTGTTCCTGGGGATTTCCTATAAGTGTGATAGTTAAAAATCCAGGAAGTCAGTTCAGCCCAGACACACCTCCACATCAATCTCAATGTACTTGCCTCACAATCTTCAAACACACTCAAAGAGCCTTCACTCCACAGACACATACCTTCTCAACTCTAGCTCATGAGTAAACACTTTTTCCTTTTAAACAAAGTGTTATTAGTGAGAAGTTCTCCTCAGACGCAAACCTTTAAGAGCAAGGAAATGCCATTTTACAAGATACCTCTCACCTGTGACATTATTATCAATGACAGTGACAAACTCTGCACTGCCTCAGAGAACTTCCTACTGCCTTCAAGATAAGGAAATCACTATATACACAACATTAAAAATCAAAAAGCATAATTACAAGCTCAGTCACATTACAAATATTCAGCATTAAAGTCATATGTAGGTTAAGTGCAGGGCATGTTACATGTTTGTGGGGAAAATAATGAAGTCATAATAATAGTTTAAATTACACAGTACCTCTTTTTCACCTCACATGCAATCCAAAACAGAGGGGAGGGGGGAAATATGTTTGGAAGATGGTCCACACCTCTCTAAGCAAGCTGGCAGCAGAGAGTACTGGGCCACAATCTATGGTAATATAATTTTATTTTCATGGGGACAGGTGCTAGGCAGTTTTTTTTTTTAAAAGAGTCGGGCAGGAATTGACATGCCTGACTACAAAAGTTTTCAGACATCCTCTAAAAATATTCAAAACTGACACAGGCATTGATTTAGGCAATATTCAGAGATAAGTTCAATTAAGGAGTGAGAGCAAGGTAGGAAGACAACCTGAGTGGCTCTTTCCAAAAGCAATGGCCTCTGGTTTACTCTTTCTTCCATTTCCTTCCGCTCCCGCAGATACTCTTGCTTTCTCTGCTTCTCATGTTTCCTATTAAAATATAGTATGACACAGAAATTGCATTGATTGCCTTTAATTATCTATAGAAGGGGTAGCAAAAAGACTAGGCTATGCTACAAGATGCAACATTCTAGAGTAACTGCAAATTACATTGCTTGTGATAGACCATTGTGCTGTTGTCTTTGAAGTCAATGTTCTGTATTTTACATTAGTTATGTGCCGAGTAAATTATCTCAAGTTCTTTTACCACAGCAACAGTGTACTTTTGACAATGGGAAAATGAAAGAACATTTAATGTTTTTTGATGCAATCGATTTGGAAAAAGAGATAGATGTCCTTACAAATGAGTTTAAGTACAACAACTTTAGGGATCTAACTTGTGCATGTTACACACAAGTTTTAGGATTTTCCGTGTAAATTTAATTTCCTTTAAGTGCTACATTCTCATCTTGATAGCAATTCCATATAATTGTTTTTCTAAGATAAGTTAGGAAACTGGAGGCTTTTGAAAAAAAGAGGAAGTTAAAATGTATACTATGAAAAACTGGTACTTTAAGGTACTTTCAAGTACCTTAAAGTACCAAATATTTGAACTAATGAAACTCCCACATCATTTTTTATATTAACATTTTAATTTATCTTTCAAAAACAGAAAATGTCAGTGTCTTCTATTTTTAGTTGCAGAGCAGACATCTTTAGAATTCACATAATTTTAAAAACATCCTGCATAGTTACAGACTTGCATAAACAACCGTAGTGCTGCTATCAACTTCCCCATGTAACAGTAATAAAAACACTTAGCATAGATGACTACAGATGTGCAATAAACTCAAAGCATATTGCAACCATTAATGAATATACATTCATTCACCTTGCAAGAAAAAAAAAGTTCACCATTTTACAGGAGAAACTAAAACCTAGAATTAAAAGTCAGATGCTGAAGTTCACGAAACACTTTGGACTAGAATCTACCTCTTCTGGGTCCTAGCCCTATCTTGTAACCATTAAGTTATAGTGCCTTTCATAAGGCCCCCTCTCCCCCAGCAGTATTTGGATTCACAATCCATTAGGAAAAAGTCTCTGCCTACTTTCCCATGCTAGCTACAAAGAAAACACAATTGCTTCCCTCCTGATAAATTATGGATACAGAGTCATGTAATATCTTTGCCTCACTTCCTACTCTCATTAGATTTGATTCCCAAATCAGAACAAAAAAGATATTTGCTTATCAACCAGGAAGCAGAAGACACTTAAATATATAAATAAACATGAAGTTAAATTTTAAAAAATAAGAGCAAAAACATGGGTTATTTTATTTGGCAATTTGAAAGTAGTATGAGTGGAGTTAGAGCTGGAACTATACTACAGGTAGAACCTCTCTAGTCTGGCACACTGCTTCAGCAACATCTAGGGGCCGGCATGAATTTAGTTAGCCTGATGTCCACTTCTTATAGGTGTGGCCAAGTTTACCACAGTCCTATAATGTTTCTTTACAGCCACCCATCCTGGTTCATTTTTCTGAGCAGTTCTTTAGCTCTAAATTACCCCTAAATATCTTCTAGGGCAGTGGTTCCCAACCTTTTTGATACCAGGGACTGACAAACCCATTCACAAACTTTTGGCAGACTGGTAACATTGTATTTGCATACTGAATATGCAAATAAAATGTTACTGGTCCACCAAAAGCCCCAGCCTCCATAGTCCCCCAGTGCCAGCCCTAACCCCTAGAGATCCCCACCCCTCCACTACTCCCCAGCACCAGCCACTGACCAGTCCCCTGCACCCAACCCCCCAGTGCCAGCCTCCTGCCCTCTCAGCCCTGCAGTGATGAGCCTTTACCACCAGATCCCCAGTGCCAGCCTCCTGTTTCCAGAGCTCCACTACACCTAACCCCTCTAGAGCCTCCCCGCCGTGCCAGCTCCCAGTCCCCAATTTTAGCCCTGACCTCAGAGTCCCCCAGTGCCAGCTCTGTCCCCATAACCTCCCACTACTAGCTCCATCCCCAGAGCCTGCCAGTGTCAGCCCCCCGCCTCTTAGAGCCCCCCAGCACTAGCCCGCCCCTCTAGTGCCTGCCCTGCTCCGGGTATATCTACACTTGCACCCTCTTTCAAGAGAGGGTTGCAAATGCAGCTGAGCAAAATTGCAAATGAAGCGTGGATTTGAATCTCCCGTGTTTCATTTGCATAATTGCATCCGGGCGCTATTTTGAAAAAAGAAACGCTGTCTAGAGGCGGTTATTTCAAAAGAAAACCCTTCTTTCGGAATAACACGTAAACCTCGTTGTAGGAGGAATAAGGGTTATTTCAGAAGAAGGGTTTTCTTTCGAAATAACCGCATCTAGACAGCCTTTCTTTTTCCAAAAGAGCGCTATTTCGAAAGAGCGCAATAACGTGAATATGCAAATGAAGTACGGGATATTTAAATCCTGGCTTCATTTGTAATTTCGAATATCTTCATTTGCATCACTCTTGAAAGAGGGTGCAAGTGTAGACATACCCTCTCTCAGCTAGTGCTGTGCTGCCTCCCAGCCACCAGCTGAGCGCTGCTGCCCAGGTTGTGGCTGCTCTAATGCTGCCATGCCAGGCTCCATGTGGCCCTTCCGCTGCACAATAAAGTGCTTTTCTGTGGCTGGGAGGAGACCCTGGCCCTGCCCTGCCAGGCCTGGTGACAGCCCAGCCCCTGACACATACATGGGCTCGGCGCTGTCTGCGGCACAAGCAACAGAGGCGCGTGCACGTTTCTGGTGGCTCGAGAGTTCCTCCCCAGGCCATTAACAGTCAGGTTTAGAGAAGCAGGGTCACTCAGCCCATGCGTGTCTTGGGCTTACGGCACCCACCTGACAGCCGGGCTGTACTAGCCCCCCTGACACCCACTGGTTTGAGTCAGGGAGCCCGGCTCCCCTGCACAACACCAACCAGCACTGCCAGCTGCAGCACCCTGGGGGTATGTCTACACTACCCTCCTAGTTCGAACTAGGAGGGTAATGTAGGCATATCGCACTTGCAAATGAAGCCCGGGATTTGAATTTCCCGGGCTTCATTTGCATAAGCCTGCCAGCTGCAGCACCCTGGGGGTATGTCTACACTACCCTCCTAGTTCGAACTAGGAGGGTAATGTAGGCATATCGCACTTGCAAATGAAGCCCGGGATTTGAATTTCCCGG